TATTGTCTGATGAGGAAATGAAAGGCACAGAGGACCAAATTTTTAAAGGTATTTAGGAACAAAATTGCATTGATCCCTTTAAAAATCTGGTCCCTAATTTTTAGTAATGCAGAGGTGTGGTCATTTATTAGTCTCTCTGCTTGTCTGTATATTTTTTTTAATCTGTCCTGGAGAAATAAAGTAACGAACCCTGAATCAATCAGCAAAACAGGTGGCTGCCTTGGATTGAGTTCAGGACTCTGAACTTGCTTTAATAGCTGCTGCTTCCAAGAATATATGTCCTTCATTCAGGTAATTCTTAACCGGGGGAGAAAAGTTTGGTGTTTTTGGTAGCAGCCAAATGTTTCAGGAAGGCAAGCAGACCTGTTACCAGCAGGATTTAGGGAACATGCTTGGTTGGAAACCACTGTTGTGTGCTCTGCTGCTTATGTAGCCACTCTCATTATGCACTCAAGACTCTAGTCTCGCACCAACATATATCCCTTCCAAAACCTGCGTCTTTCTCCAGTTCCACTGATTTTATTGCAAGTGGGAGGGTCTCTGTAGCTCGTATTCCTTTCCTGTTTTACATATTTGCATAATTCAGATAGAGAAAGTCAAAGATTGCCATTAAATCCTTGGTTCGCCTTACTTAGGGGTCTGTCATTGCTAAGGTTTTGACTCATGCAAGATCTGTTGAAAGGTCAACCTCCCCATCAATATGTTTAGTAACTGAGAAGGGTAGTGGTGGCTACTGTACCACGAGGAATTCGGGCTACGGCTAAATAAAGCAGGTTGGCCTGGGACCTTGAAAATGCAGCCTGACTGATGTTTGGTGGGATAGTTTTTTCCCCAACCTGCTTTTTGGTGTTGCCGGCAGATGGAGAAAACAGAGAAACTCTGGAGTGAGCCATAGATGATGATACAGCAAACATTAACCAAAAAAGCCTTACAGATAATCCTGTGGCATGGTGTCTTACCTTTGGATGACTGATAAGAGCTTAATGAACACTTGAGGAAGAATTAGTGAACACCTGGGAACTTCATTAATCCTTCCTGGTGCACCTGGATGGGAGAGAGGACATTGAAGGAGGATGCTGAGCCTGGACCTAAGGGGCAGGGGAGAGAGAAAGTGGAGAGGGATGTTTTTTTGTACTTGCTAAGGAAGTGACAGAATTCATGGGGATTATTGTTTGAAGAAGAGGGGGGACTGCAGAAGGGATGAGGGTCTAGAGAGAGTTTATTTGGAGGGGGGAGAGGTACATGTGTCTGATGCCAGATATACCCTGAGGGTGTGCCTGGCCACAAGGAGTGGCTCTGAAATTGGCATCTCTTGTGACAGGCCTGTTCAAGCTTAGTCCAAACTTGGGTCTGCAACTTGCAGCTGGGTCTGTTTGTATGAACCCTTGCTCAGAGTCTCCTCGCCTTCGGGGGGGCTCCACAGACGCACAGGACCGGTGTTGCCAAGTCCGCTTAGAGTAAGCAGAATTGAGCTTGTTGGTG